GCACTTTCTGGCGGGATGCTGGCCAGCACCTCACCCAGGCCCTGACTTTCTTTTTCTAGAAGCTTCTGTTTTCTTTCTGGAAACAGAGGATAGAGACTCTTCCCACCTCAGAGGTCTTGGGTTTCTTCCATATTCAAATCTGGGTGTTTTCCCCACATTAAAACAACAACAACAACAACCACCACCACCACCACCCAGGCCACAGGTGCAGAGCAGGACAGGGTCTTGACCCGGAGTGCCAGGTCTCGACTCCCACAGAGCTTTGGGACAGGGTGAGACCATGAACACACTCGAAATCCAGGCAGCCGTGCCGAGACTCATGTCTGGTGTTTGGAGAAAGTGGGATCAACAAGAGTGATAGCTGTGGTGTCCAGGAGAGGGGCCTGGAGACACCAGGCCATGAAAGCCCATCCTATCAAGGGGTGAGGCTGTAAGGTGGCCGTTCTTATCTCCTCTCCCCTCTCTCCTTGTCTTGCCTTGCTTAGATGGGTGACCTCCTGACATTTAGCCTCTCCTATGAGCACACTAGTTAACCTGGTCACTCAGGGCTGGAGGTCGGACAGGCGTGATCGCTCTGTAATCAAGCAGCATCTCCCACCTCTGAAGGGAGGAGAGGGTCAGAAGGCTGAAAACAGGCCTGCGACAGTCCCCATGCTGGCAGCAGCGTCTTGCCTTTCATGCTGGCCTTTCTGTTCATCCCAGAAGAAGGGATATCTTTTGTTCTTGTTTTCTTTCCCATTCATTTTCACATCAATATCCTCATCAATGGGGCTAGAGATGCCCACAGCCACAGAGGTTGTCATCAGGAATCTCTTTCTGCCTCAGTCAACCCAAAGCCAGATTCCAGGGAAATACTGTAAATTGCAGCCGGGTGACAGATACAACACAAGCATGTCACAAACCTCATGAGCTCAATGACGAGCAGAAGCAGGCTGGAAATTAATATGTCATGCACATGTCCCTGGCTTGTCTGCTTTTCTGATTGAACCACATTTAGACATTCATCTGTACGAGATAGTCTTTCAGCCACTAAATGGGGCTTTCCGGGTTGTCAGTGTCTTTGGATGGAGCATTCCATGCCGAGCCCCCTCCCGTAAAAGAGAAGTTTGAAGGCTTTGCAATGTGAAAGACGGTGAAAGACAGTCCCTGTCCCAGATCTTACTCTCTGCTACCAGGCTTGAAAGTTCACAATTGAAGGTATTAGTTGGAATATGACCCTGAGTATGACCTTGAGTTCAAAAAACATGTTACAAATCAGCTACATAACCCAAAGGTAGGTGGTTGACCAGTTCCCCAGCCTCCCTCTACTTTTCCAGTTTTTCCTTTCTTTACTATTTCCAGAGTAACCACCATGTAGGACTGACCCCCAGAGCCCTGAGATGCAAACCCCAGGCCCAGGCTCCAGTGGCCGGACATGGCATGCCAACTTAGTAAGTATGGGGTGTGTGAGACCAGTCCTCTAGAAGGGGACCCTTAACTCCCACTGTGTGAATCCCCAAAGGAAAAATCCCACTGCATTCTCTATTCAGTTTTATCAGCTTAGAACACCCTTCAGGCCCAAGTCCAGAAAAAGAGAGACATTGGTCAGCCATCCCAGAAGGAGCATATCATATCGGTGTGACCGAATTGACAAGTGTTTAGGACATTAGTGCAGCAGCCCACACTTCTGGTGTTCCAGGATATTTAGGTCTTGAGAGGTCAGCCTAATCAACGAATCAGTCCTTTGATGGGTTCCTAAAACAGTGGCATTATAGGGAGGTGGGGGAAAGGTAGGAGACTGGACCTATTTGCAGGTCACGATCCTTGGAAGGTGGGTCTTGCGTGGTCTCTTTCCGTAGCACCTTTTCACTGCTTCCTGTTCACCAAGTTGTTAGGAACAGCCTCTCCCACACACTCCGGCCACCATCCAGTTTCACCCAAGCACACGAGGACCAAGCGACCATCAACTGAAGAGTCCAAAAGCATGAGCCAAAGGGAATCTTTCCTCCTCTTAAGTTGCTTGTCTTGGTTCTTCTTAATTCTTAAGGAATTGTCTTGGTTCTTCTCTTGCTGTGATGAAATGCCCTGAAGAAACAGAGTAACAAGAGTAAAGTAGGATATACTTGAGGTCAGAGTTGAAAGGTGTAGTCCATCTTGATGAAGAAACCATGGCGGCAGGAGCTTGAGGCAGCCGGTCACCTTGCACCCCTCGTCAAGAAACAGCAAGTGATGAATGTTTGAGTGTAGCTCATTTTTTTTCATTTTTATTCTATCTAGACCTCAGACTGTGGACTAATGAGGCCCCACCTCAAAAAACCTAATCAAGATAATCCCTCACAGGCTGAGTCAAAGGTTAAACCTCATCTAAAGAGTCCCTTAGAGGTGTGCCTTGCTGGAGGCTTGTGATTCTGAGGCAAATAAGCAGAGGGAAGAGCTTAGCTTCCTGGGACTCTGCCTGGCTTGGACTGTTCACACTTCTCTTGTAATAATGCTCTTGGCAGCCTCAGACCTTCACCTACACATCCTGTACACACAACCCCACTCCAAACAATGCACTTAGCAACCTGTTAGCAACCTAGCACTCCCATGTGCATCAAGCTCCACAACCGTCTCTCTCTCTGGACAATGGAATAAGTTTCTCTTCCCTTAAATGACCATCAAACTCAGACAGATTCTATTAAATCTGTTGGGGGCGGGGTGGGAGTGGGATCCAGCCTAGACTGGTTTTGGGTGGATGAGCAATAAAACAAACTCTGTCCTCAAACTGAACTTTTAGAGAGATCTCCTATTGCCATCCTATTTGGCATGCATATGATTAAAATCAGATGCATCATGGGAAGGGACATATGCAGTAGGAAAAAGGTTATATAACTTAATCTACCAATTAACATAAAAAACTACTCATGCTCCCCTTCTCTTGAATCCCATAAAAGGAAGCCACAAACAATAACCAGGAGCCCTTGAGGGTCTTCACTCATGTGACTCTGGTGACTCTTGACTATATATCTGACCTGGTCCATCACATTGCTTTGAATAAAGTATCCTTGCTATTTTGTAGATACGTGAGTCCTTATTCCAATCCTCTGAATAAGAGACCGAGGACCGGGGAGCTCCCAAACCAGAGTAGGACCATGGGTAACGATCTGAGATGCTGTCATGTTGACAGTACTAACCACAGGAGTGATACAAGATGCTATCGTGGGGCTCATCCATCTGCTGCTGGAAAAGGAAAACCAGTTTAAGTCCACTGTTAGGTGAGCCTTCCACTTGTAGCAAATACAGAGAATCAGCCTGGGAGGAACTTCCAGTTTCAGTCATGCTTGGTTGATCCTTCTGCTTTTGAGCCTGTGGCAGCACAGCGCCTCATGGTGGGAGCACATTGAGGAGCAGCCCTCCCCCCCCCCAAGTGAAAAGAGAGGAAGAGGAAGGGCTAGAGTCTCATTGTTCCTTTCAAAGACTCTCACAATGGCCTGAAGACTTCCCACTAGGCATCGCTTCTTAGAGACTGTACCACCTCCCATTATCACCATGTGGGGGACCAAGCCTTTCAGGACTGCGCCTTTGGAGAACAGATCCAAGCTAGAGCAGCCATACAGTTGGTCTTCAAGAAGAAGGACAAGGCTGCCTTCAAGCTCCTCTGTGATTGTATGGATAGATTTCCCTCTGCAATACCTGCCCCTCCCCCATCTTCCCCTCAATGCTACATCCAACAGCCTCCTAAATAGCAACATGAAACTCCCTAAGCACAGGAGGAAGGATGGGAACTCACTTCTGCATGCATTATCTACACACAAGGACCTTTTGAGGTCAGTTCTGTTGTCCCATTTTAAAGATGCTGAAACTGAGACCTACTGTGGTTGAATGATTTGCCAAGGTGAGCAAGAATGTAAATTCAAAACTGGGCAAAACTATGTTTCCAGCTTCTGGGGTCTTACCCCAGAATCCTCACATTTAACCTCTACATTGCGATTCTCAAGCTTGAGTGGATGTCATTGTCTCTTGGAGTCTGATGGAACTGAGGTTAGGAATTTCTGATCAGTAATTCTGGCTTGGGCCTTGAGAACTGGCATTAATAACAAGTTCCCTGTTGCTGCTGGTGGTGATAGGATCCCCTATGTCATTGGAGACTCCAGCTAATGAGTACCCCCCACCCACAGCTCCTTCTAAAGTAATAGAGGGCATTTTGCCAATATGTCCACAAAATAATACATTTTGTAAAATTAAAAAATATAAACATTGGTACATTATTTTCCTCCCATATATTTCTTACAAGTGTGTAAACTTTGGGGTCCTCAAATCCTGGATCTGCCTCCATCCTATCATCTTTTTCTAGTCACATTTCTCCTCCTTTTATCTAGCTCATGTTAAAAGCTACCCCCACCCCAGTGGCTCTTAAGTCTGTCTGTGTTTATATCCACAGAAACAATATGTCTGTGGGTTCCCAATAGAAAAGGGACTGAAGACGTTTCCTGTATTAAAGTAGTTGCCCCAGACATCAGGACACCCTGGTGGGAGTCTGATCTTAGGGAATGTCATCTACATCCCCTGTAGGGATATAGGAGAGACAGTGGAGACTTCTGAAGTCTCAGATGGGAGCCCAGCCATGGGCATCCTTTCTTTAGGGAGGAATGATAACGGAATAGAAGCCCTTTCTATCTGTTGCTCCAGGCCAGCCACTGGCAGGGCTCAATAGCACCCAGCAAGTCTTTAAGCATGGGGTTTGGGACAGACAGGGGAAGAAGACAGGAAATGGAGCCCTTACCTTTTTGTTATGAAGATGATAATGATGAGTGTGTGTGTGTGTGTGTGTGTGTGTGTGTGTGCGTGCGCGCGCACACTCATGTGCAGGTGTGAACATGCCACAGTATGCATGAAGAGGTCAGAGCACAACTTTTTTTTTTTTTTTTTTTTTGGTTTTTCGAGACAGGGTTCCTCTGTGTAGCTTTGCACCTTTCCTGGGACTCACTTGGTAGTCCAGGCTGGCCTCGAACTCACAGAGATCCGCCTGCCTCTGCCTCCTGAGTGCTGGGATTAAAGGCATGCACGACCACCACCCGGCTCCCAGAGGACAACTTCAGGCATTGATTCTTTCTTCCTACCATGGGGTCAGGAGATTGAACTCAGGTCGGCAGATCTGAGTGGCACACATTTTTACCCACTGAGTCACATCACAGGCCTGATGTTTTCTGAGTGATGTAGATTCTGGAAGATCGTTGACTCCCATCGTGGGCCAGGCTGGAGACCAGTGACTGTTCAACAGGAGTGTAATTAGAACCACGGTTGTAATCTTACATTTTCTTCCACCACATTAAAATGCTGAACTTAATTTTGCTAACAGAACTGAATAATATATTTCATCAAACATTCAAATATTGTGCAATCACTGTACAAGCACTGGGAAAACAAGGAATGAACTGTTTTTACGTTTTTCGTGGCATTTCATTGGAAATGCAACATCTGCCCACATAGCATACCTCAGTCCGGATACTAAGCTGGATTCCATCAACAGATGGAGTAAAATACGTTCTGAACAAAACAGCAAGGTTCTGTGAGAAGAGAGATGTTTTTTGCTGCTTGGTTTTTTAACTCATACAGAAAAATTAAATGAAGATTTCAGACCCTCTAGTGAACTAATCCTATTCACATATAGTTGGGGAATTAAACTAATGGACGGCTTGGGTTCAGGCATGTAACATCAGTTTCCACAGTGATAGAACCTCTCCGTCCCCGAGGTACTGGTGGCAACAACCATTGCCGTTGCAGATATGATAGGAAGGATGAGGGGGAGGGGTTTGGAACCTGGAGCAAAGCGAAAGGAGAAAACCCAGGTAGTTGGGCCAATATAGACTCTCGGGTCCCTAGAAAGCTCCTTTTCAGCTCTGTTCCCTGATGGAGTGTACGGCATATGTACAGCTCTTGGAGTCGGAACCCTCCGCTGTCCAGAAACTCCTGAAGGGAGGGTCTCTTCTTCACTAGCATATCCACCGAGCCTGACGCATGCCTGTCATCGGAGGTCTCTGTACGGGAGGGGTAAATAAAAAAGCTGCTGTTGAAGCATTGAGGGGGTGGAGGACCTGGAACTGTCCCCACCCATGAGCAAATCAGCCCAAACACAGTGTTAATACCTGAGTGAGCCACTATGTTAGCATGTGGCTGGCCACTTAGCTAAAACCAGGACCACCAATTTGGGTATCCATCTCACAAGCATCAGAAGGTGATGGTATCTTCTGAAGTCCAAACTCTCCTAGAGCATGCCTTTTTCTTTGTTTGTTTGTTTTTGTTTTTTTCAAGACAGGGTTTCTCTGTAGTGCTGGCTGTCCTGGACCAGGCTGGCCTCACTCAAACTCAGTGATTTGCCTGCCTCTGCCTCCTGAGTGCTGGGATTAGAGGGGTGCACCACCACTGCCTGGCATAAGCTTGAGTATTTCTATGGCTAGTAACCTTTGAGACCACATGCCTTCCTTGGAAGATTCTGCTTCCTAGGTTCCTCTTTTTAGTTTCCTCTAGATATAGGGACAATGTGGTCCCTGAAGTCAATCTTAATGAGTGATGGAAGGACAACCCATAGGGGACAGTTTTCACTAATGCCTAAGGAGAACTCACATCCTTACCTTCAAAGAAACTCATGTAAAAACCAACCAACCAACCAACCAACCAACCAAAACCGAAGACAAAACAAAGCCAAGGCACTCATTAGAAAAGCAATGAGACTTCCCACAGATCCAGACAGGATTGTGCTGTCCACTGCCCCAGCTGGAACCCAGACTCCAGAGTACCAGGCTGCCTCTTCTCAGGCCATCTCCTCTTTGTCTAGTCATTTGCATGGGCCTCCTTTGGGGGGGGGGTCTGCTTCTGATTCCTATCCTTGCACACTTTCTGGGTTGCGTGGCCAACTGATTTCCTATCTACCCATATCAGGCACCAGAAGTGACAGTGGGTTCCAGATGGTTGTTTTCTGGTTGTACCTCTGAGTGACAGAGGACTGGGCAAAAGTTTTATGTACCTCGCCCTCTTGCCCACCCCAGGTCCTGCTGCAGTAGAAGACTCTAGCTGTCTTCTTCTCCAACAGGCTCTGGTATCTCTCCTGGGTGTAACAGCCATGGCTTGGATTAGGAGGCTGCCTAAGAGCCTGGTCCATCCCTACAGCACTGGCATGATTCTTACTGCTCCAACAAACCATCCAATCTACTTTAAGTTATTTAATTAACATCTCCAAGGGTTCTTGTCACTGCTTCATCTGTCTTCCACAGCTTTGAAAAATTTAGTATTGTACAAGCTATTGTCATGCTATCGTTTGCCTATCAGAGATTGACAGCAAGACCCCATTGCCGATGAAACCTTGCACTTCGGTGACAGGATTTGGAGAAATCAAATTGGTACTGGCCAGGAAGCTTCCTCCCTGTTGGTTAGGCTTCTGTAGTATTAAAAGGAGCTATGCAAGCTTTTGGGGTGCAAGGATTATAAACAATCTTACCCAGCCATGAATCTTACAAGCTACAATAAAGACTAGCACGGCAAGAGATGTTCATGGGTGTAATAGTGGTACAAATGTTTTAGGGGTAACCCACTGCTTTCTGATTAGATCTAAGACAGGAGGAGGAAATTTACACTTACTATTGTAAATCTGGTTGAAAACCCACGGTTGGAGAGTTGATAGGCTCCAGTGATAAACTCACTTCTTTTTTCTAAATAGACATAGTATCAATTAGCCCTCTAAGTTCGTATCTCTATACCCATAGATTAGTGTAGCTCTCAGACCTCACTGAAGAAGTTCCTTTGTGCAGAAGCTCACAGCAGATCGAAGTGCAGCGATTAAGTATTTGTGGAGTGCTCAGTCATGAATGGGACATCTATTCTACATTCTGTTCTCACAAGGCTCAGGGAACATCTTGAAAGAGGGGAAGAAATGATTGTAAAAGCTAAGAGTTAGGGTGACTTGGAGTGAAACGGTGTCTTCTGGACATAACATGACCTCTGCACTCATGAACTCTCAGTGGGCGTGATTGTCTGCACCAAACCTGCAAAGACCAAGCCGTCAACATTCTAGCAAGGAGGATGGAGGAGCTCATGTGTCCCCACCTCTCGCTGAGGAGCTAGTGACAGTTAACAGCCTATGGGAGAAGAGTCACTTTTCTTTAAAGTTATGGCCCCTAGTAGGTTGATGGCCCTACACCCGTGAGTCTGTGGGTTACACAAACTGGACTGGGACAAATATATAGAGAAGGAGAGAGAAGGAGAGAG